ATCTCCAGCTGCTTTCGGGAAAGGAAACCACAGATCTTAATGACGCTTGGCTACGTATTGTGTGTGGTTTGGCTTTAATCATTGGAGAGTACAATTAACCGTTCACTGAAAGGGTTGAAGCAGCAACAGCAAATCTGAGATGACCCAATTTAATTGTTGAAAGTCACATGTACTGTAACTTTGGGATAAAACCATGGCGGGTTGCACTTGGTACATCATCATGGGAAATGGCAGTTGTAAAGCAGAGTGGAATATTGCAGAAGAATAAAATGATGTTTGAGTATTTTTATACTGCACCAATTCCAAATAATTATTGTACTGAAGTTTGGTCAAAATTAATCAACAATGTTAATGTGGAAGATGGGATTCAGCACGGAAATGAACTTGAATCATCAGATAACTTGAAGTGAGAAACTTTGAATTAAGAGCACCTTTTATCTAATCTGGTGCTACTTGGGATGTTAACTGTATTGAAATAAGTCTTTATCTTGGGATTTAAACTGCTAAACTACAGATAAGCTAACAACAGCAATGGCCCATGTCAATAAAAGATCGCCTTAGCTTGTTGATATCAACTTTGTCTCAGTGCTCTCTCCTTTTGGTCAAAAAGTTGAGATTTGAAAACATACTCTAGGCCAGCAATTCCACGACAGTGCTGAGGGAGCTTTACACTTTATATATCAGTTCCATCAGATGGATGCCAAGATTCTTTGGTGCTAGTTTGGAGAAGAGCGAGGGAGTTCGGTCTGTGCCCTGGCCAATGTGTATCACTCTGCAATGTCCAAGAGAATTTATCTGCTCCTAAACCTGTTGCATTTTGTTGGAATGAGGACTTGAAGTTTGCTGCCTGAAGACAAGCCCTTAGTGTTTGTCCGCTGAATCATGGCAACGTGCCATGTTACTCTGCTATAGTTAGGGCTATGGGATAGGTCCCAAGTGGAATGGGGATCAAATCCTGTGAAATTGCCGTTATTTGATCCACATGCTGGCAGTCTGGCCAGCTGAGCTAACCCGTCCTATTCCCCTGTGGGAATGTAGGGTGTGGAAGTTGGTTGCCACGTCTCCTGCCTTACGACAGTGATTTCATTTCAAAAGTACTTCATTGACTGGAGTGGTTTGGAGCACCCTGAGGCTGTGAAAGGTTTTATATAAATGCACATCTTCTGCCATGTCTGTGATAGGGAGATCTAAGGGAGGCTGCTTGCTTTATTGCTCAAAGAAGCATCATCTCATTCCTCTCTCCTTTTATAATTAAATGCTGCAGATGTGGAGCATGCTACTGTTTTAAGTTAACTTCGGTCATTTTGGAAATTGCAGTGGAAGCTTATCTTTCTGAAGCTTATCTTTCTACTTCTATTACCAAGAAACTTGCTGCACAGCCACTTACGTATTAATTGACAGCGCCCTCCCTTGCCAAGGCAGACCACCCGAGGTGAGACATGATTTCACATTGTTACAGTAACAGCCTCTGTTTTGCTGATAGGTTTAGCAGAATGCAGTCAGTGTCATTCCATGTTACTTTGGGGGAGGCTTCTCTCCAGATGGGTTGGGGCTGTCACTGCCTGATTTGTGGCAGCATTTGACCTTTCTGCTGTGAAGAATGGCCCATTATTTTTTATGGCAATTAGTTGGCTGTGGCTCAACCTGATTTATATGGAGAGCATTGAGAACACAGCCATGATGTCAGTAATTGCAACACTACAGATACTGAGCTTGTACTGAGTATGTTATCTTGGGAATAGAATTTCCCTTTACTAGGTTCATTTATAATCTTAACTTTCATTGTGTTCGGTCACTGACTCTCTCTTGTTACGGAAAATGGCTATTGGAGTCTGAATATGTGACTGATCCACGGTCATGATAGTTAAAACTCATTTGAATGGTAGTTTGGACCATATTTGAGATTGAGTGGGATAACTCTCAAGCACATACAAACATTGAGACATTTTTGAGAGATTACTGGGAATCTGAGAGAAAATTCACAGAATCTGATCAGTCATATAAACTATTAATGTGAGACCATAAACTTGTTTTTTTTAAATCTTCATGCCTTAACCTTGAAGAATGATGTGGAAGGATTTGAAAAATTTTTATAATGGCTCATAAGGCGGTTAACACTTATGGCAGGGAGCTTGTTTTGTGCACACGTGCAGCCCATATGATTGGATGGTTGCCACCAGCCATCAGATATTAGGATTCTGTTGGATGTCCGTTCCAAATTTGGATCTAGAACTCTGGTCTCTGGTTGTTGGGGCAATCAGACACAAAGACTGAGCACTGCGTTTGTAACTGGGAGGTGGTGAGGGAATGCGCTTGCTAAGTCAGAGGTTTGCTTTATTAGTATGAAACACAAATTACAAAGCTCCAGGCCCTGTGGCTTGGAAGCCGTTTGAGGCTCTTTAGCATCTTCTTTGAGCTCCCGACCTTTTCTGGTTGGATTGCTTTACGCAAAAGGTCTAAAAAGAAAAACCACGGAAAGCAAGAGCCATGCTTTTGTTGCACTTACTTTAAAAAAAAAATTAGGCTGCACTTTGTCTTCAAATGAATATTTGAATGATTCTCAACCGTTTTTTGGTAAAAAAAATATCGTATATTGTTGTTATAAAGTGAAAAATAATTTGTGAGCTAAAAATTACACAGACCTCTTCAGGGATGCTGACAAACCTTCGAGTTCCAGGGTAACTGCAGCATGGTCATAGATTATTTTATTTTATTTGAAACAAGGTTTTATGTTTGCACATTATTTCTAATAAACCTGAGATATCCATATATTTTGTGTCTGTACATCTCTATATGTGATTGTGTTGTTAGAAGCTATTTTTATAATGAGCAAATCTTATACCATATTGTTTTAACTCTCCATGCCTTAAGTTACTTGCAAAGTTGACTTTTCTGGTACAATTTTTGCTTAAAGCCCATTTGCAGTCGAGACCTGCCATGTATGAATTTGCTTAACCCCACAAAATATACTGTGCATCTTTTCACCTGCTGCTGAGAGTCTGAAGTTTTAAAGAAAAATAATTAAAGGAAACTTTCTTTCTGGCGGAGACAGTGTGCACTGCGTGTACGCAGTCTGCAGTGCTTGTGAAGACCACCTTTTATAGAACATAACTTCATGAGCGGTAGAACTTTGCTATATGAGAAGTTCTGTTATAAAAGAAAGAACAAAAATAATTTTCAAGTGAACATTGAGAATGCTGGAGAAACCCAGCAGGTCTGGCAGCTTCAGTGGAGAGAGAAAGTGTAAGTGCTTTGGTTCCAGTGTGACTCCTCTTCAGAAATAATTTTTAGTTTTACATGTAAATTTGTCATTATACTTTTATTCAAATTAGAAAAGTGCCATTCTGCTTAATCTGGTTCACTACTTTAATAATTTTTCCTGAAGCTGCTTTCATATATTCATATGATTTGACACACACAACTTGTGAACACTGGATGCGCAAAGAAAAAATGTCAAAAGATGCAAAAAAAGTCAAGAAGCGTAATTTAGTTATTTTTGTTTAATTTTTCTCTTGATGCTTTGAATTTATGTATGTCTTTATTATGTATGCAAATTATGCGTTCCACCAGAGACCAATTTGTCATTTATTTATTTCAGTATTGTCGAATTTCTGTCTGGAGTCTCAATAATTTTGATTTTACACAGTTGTTTTTAGAAAGGCTTCATCCAGTAAGTGTTGCATTTTACAACAGATCTTGTGATAAACTGGTTCTTGTTTTATCATAATTATGCTAGTGAAATAAATTTTAAAGCAAACTTAAAGTATCCGGAGTACTGTGTAGAGTTTCTTTGTTGATTCTTATGATAGAAATGACTTCTTGAGACAAACCACTGCTTTGGTTTAAAGCCAGTGTTGTTCAGGGCGGGGACATATGGGGATGTTTCATAATTATTGTATGTTCAAAGTCTTGCTTACGACCTTCTTTTCCTGAGAATTTACAGCACAGAAGCAGGCCATTTGGCTCGGTAGGTCTATGCTAGTGTTTGTGATTCACCAGAGCTTCCTCACATTTAACTTTGTTGTGCCCTGTCAGCATTTCTCATTTCTTTGTCCTATATTTATCAGTTGTCCTTTCACAGCATAGATGCGTTTTTTTCAACCAGTCAATGTGATGGTTCATTCCATGTTCTAACCTCTGAGCAATGAGTGAGGCGATGGCCTAGTGGTATTAACACTGGACTGTTAGTCCAGAGACCCAGGAAGTGTTCTGGGGATCTGGGTTCAAATCTTGCCACAACAGATGATGGAATTTGAATTCAATTTTAAAAAAAAAATCTGGAATTAAGAATCTGATGATGACCATGAATCCATTATTGATTGTTGGAGAAATCCATCTGGTTCATTAATGTCCTTTAGAGAAAGAAACTGCTGTTATTATCTGGTCTGGCCTACATGTCATTCCAGACCCACAGAAATGTAGTTAAGTCTTAACTGCCCTCTGGGGCATTATTGTTGGGCGATAATGCTGGCTCAGCCATTGCTGACCTTATTACGTGAATGAATTTTAAAAAAGAAATGTTCTTCCTTCATTCCTTTATTAGTGCCTATCTTGCATTTGTGCCTAGATTTTGCATTCCTCATAAGTGAAAGCATCCTCTGTACATATTTCCTATCAAATCCTTCATAGTTTTTAAAACTCTTTATTAAGTCATTTCTTTGCCCTTTCCTTTTGGAAGAAGGAAAGCCAGCGTGTCTTGACTTTTCCGATGGTCTTATTCCTGTCACTTTCCAGAAGGTACAATTCAGATGGTACACCTTTAGGCTATCATCGCAATCATCCTGAGCAGCATCACAGGGGATCTTCCAATAGGCATTGAAACTTTGATGTTTTTATGTAACAGTGCAAGCATATTTACTGTGACTTTGGCTAATGAATACTTTATCTGGATGTGTAGTAACTGTTGTTCTTACAAACGCAATAGAATGTATCAATATGGTTTCAATATAATGGTTCACTTGAATAAGGAATTGTAAGAAAATTTCATTTTTGTTTTTCAGAGTTCATTTTTTACATAACCAATGTGAATGCGAAGCACCCATGAGGACGGAGTCAGTTGATTTGTTTCCTGGTGGTAAGGGGATGGATGGCTAGGAGATCTGAAGACAGCAATGCTTTTCAATGACCACCTTTGACTATACTTACGGTGTCAGTGTTGCCCACCAGGTTGGCGCATTTAACAAAAGAGCTCTGGACTGACTTTGATCAGCAGCGAGCAGTGGTCTGCTATGGAATCTGCTCGAACAAGCAGAGACCGAGAGAAGGAGAAAGTGGAAGATACTCGACGACCTAATAAGCAGACAACGCGGAGTCCCCATGGCACTCGTCCTGGCTCAAACCAGTCATCTGGCGTTCTTATGGTTGGACCAAACTTCAGGGTTGGCAAAAAGATTGGATGTGGAAACTTTGGGGAGCTTCGACTAGGTAAGCACAGCTCCTTCAATGCACAGTCAGATATTTTCTTGGCTACTTCAACTTTAAAACCAACCTTCTGATAGTTATTGAAAAATATAATTCAAATTTGCTGCCATCTATGTTTGCATACCAGTGGCTAGCGGAGTCTGCAGCACATCCCTCTTAATAAGAACTGCAAACAAATAAGTGTCTTGGTTGTATGGAGCTTGAGCATTGCTGAAAAAAAGACATACTGTTGAAGTTTTTCTCTTGCACTCATCAGGACAGATGTAAGAATGTCAAATTTCAGTGTTTACTGCATAAGAGAAAGCTGATTGACTAGCAAGTCAACTCTTAATGGGGTTGTTAGCACACTTAGAACTGTTCAGATGCTTTCCATTTGGTGGCAGAGGGTTGAAAATGTGTGTTTCTGTCAGTGATCTTGTCAGAACTGTGCAAGACTGGGATGCGGTGACTGCTTTTGAAATCTTCCTCTGTAATCTTTCATTCTTCATTCTTCCCTTGTTGTACAGCTCCCGTTTATCCCACAGAAACAGCAGAGGCTTAAGCTACCATGACTCTATACTCAGGTGCTCCTCCCTCAACCTTTTCCATCTATTTAAAACAGAACCCTTTACAAAATGTACTTCTAAGCCTTTGATCACCTGTCTTATCTGTCTCTGACTTGGCATCTGGTTAAGCACATTTTATGAATGTCTAAAGGGAGCAAAGTTGTTGATAACTATTAGTTCTAGTGTCAACTGTGACTCAGAGGGAAGTAATTTCGCACCGGAGTCCAAACACTGACTTCAAGTTCCACTCTGGGCTAACCCTTCCTTTTCCTTCATCCAGCTGCCCAATCCTATCCAATCCAATGTTGAGAATCTCTTTATTCCTCAACTCTGGCAGTGATTTCCAGGATCCCATAGCTATCCATTCCAAATCTCTTACATTTAACCTTGTGTCAATGTTCTTGACCTCTTAAATCACTCAGTCAAGTATACTTTGACTGGTGACCAGCTCCTCCCCCTCTACGTCCAACTGACTCCAGTTGAGAACTTTGAAAGCAAGGGATCTCTGTATGTGGGTATTTAGACATGAATGTATACTGTCACTCCTATGTGACTCCAGTGTGTCACTGCCACATTGCCTGCTGTTGTATTTTTACCTTGCAATGCTTCATGAAGCCAGCTCATTACAGAGTGACCACTGGTGATAAATACCTTCCTGGTGACTCTCAACTCAGGAATGAATTCACAAAGAAGGATAGATTTAATAGGAAACTGGATAAACATGAAGGAAAAGGAAAGTGTTGAGAGACGTGGGAGGAAGAATATGTAAAGCATAAATCTGGCACAAATTTGTTGGGCCAGATGACCTTTTGCCCTAATGTTCATTATATATAACGTAATGCAAACATTTGTTACCTCCACACACCTGTTTTTTTTTTTTTTTAAAAAACAACTTCTGTCCTCTGGTTAGAAGAATAGGCAACCTCTAGCTTTATTAAATTATGTTTCTGTCGGTGCCTCGGAGTCTATATTGGAGGATGGTTTGGACTCTGTACAGTAATTAAGTGGCACTCCTAGTTTTCAAAGCCATAAACAATTGAGTATACGTTTGGATCCAGACCGGAACTAGCAGCTGTTATATGGTCTTGCTGTCGAATGCCAGCTCTCCAAGAATAATTTCGGTTGTTACTTCTATAATTAGCATTTATAGTTGAAAGTTACATTTAGTTTTAAATCAGTGGTCATACAATGTATAAAAATGTCTTAAAGTCTGCTTTCCTGTGTATTTGCATCATGTGTCTCTGGGGTATTTGTTCAGTTTAAATGTACAGACCAATAATTAGCAAATAAACAGTGTTGAAGTTTAAAGGATGAAGTGGGAATCTGACTGAAACTTGCAGAATACTGAGAAGGCTGGATAGATCAGATGTGGAGAAGATGTTTCCCTTAATAACAGAGACTAGGACCTGAGGGCACGCCCTCAGACTGAAAGGAACTGAGGTGAGGAATTTCTTCAGCCAGAGGGTTAATGTGTGCAACTCATTGCTGCAGATGGCTGGGGAGGCCAAGTCATTGAGTGTATTTAAGACATATAGACAGGTTCTTGATTGGTAATGGGATCCAGGGTTACGTGGAGGAGGCAGCAGAATGGGGTTGAGAAACATATCAGCCGTGATCAAATGACTTGATAGGCTGTATGGTCAAATCAAGGTGTGAAGTGTAGAACCGAAGCTGCCATAAGTTTCATACGTGACTCAGTGGGTAAAACTTTGGCCTCTGAGTCAGAAGGTTGTAGATTCCGAACTTGCCTCAGAGACTTGAGTACAGAAATCTAGGTTGACACTACATTTGCTGCGCTGACGGAATACTCATGCTGTTTGTTCATTTGTTTTCACCGCACCATAATGGACCTTAGTTGGTATCGTCTTGCAGTTTCTCTAACTTTTTTAAGCTTCCATCAGTCGACATCTCAATGTTATTCATCCATTTGATCCTCCTTCCTCTTCTGTTTCTACCCTCAGAATTCCCCTTCAATTGCTGCCGGGACAAGGCTGTTGAGTCTTGGTTTTCAAAATCTGGACTTACTGTCTTTCTGTCTCTGTGCTCGGCAATCGTGTTGATGCCTGAACAACCAATTTTGATATAACCCACTCATTTATCAAGTGCAGTGCATCATCTTTTTTAAAAAAAAAATGCAGGAGGCTATCTTATCATTATTGCCGTTTGTGGTATCATGCTGTAAACAAAATGACTTCCATGTTTGCCACATCATAACAGTGGCTAAGCTTGAAGAGTTAATTATTGGCTGCAAGTTCTTTGTCTTGAGATGTAGAAAGGCACAATATGAATGCAAGTCTATTCTTTATGAAAATAAAGCAACACATTTATGCAGCACCTTTAATATAGAAAGATGTTTCAAAGTGCTTCACAAGGTTTGCAATTAGCAAACCATTGACACTGAACCAAAGGAAAACATTTGGGAACCCACAAGATATTTTCTCATTCCAGCAGTAGAAATGTCAACTGTGACTCAGTGGGTAGCATGCCCATTTCTGAGTCAGAAGGTTGTGGGGCCAAGTCCTGCTCCAGGATTTTTGACACACAAATCAAGGCTGATGCTCCAGTGTAGTAGTGATGGGGTGCTGCATTGTTAGAGGTGCAATATTTCATAGATCATAGAATCCCTACAGTGTGGAAACAGGCCCTTCGGCCCAACGAGTCCACACCGAACCTCAGAGCATCCCCCCCCAGACCCATCCACCTGTAACCCACCCTGAACACAATGGACAATTTAGCATGTCCAATCTACCTAGCCTGCACATCTTTCGACTGTGGGAGGAAACCCATGCAGACATGAGGAGAATGTGCAAACTCTACACAGGCAAATTGGATTCCTGTAATAATAAATGGAACTTTCAAAATTAAAGTATTTTGATTTTTATCCTAGCTGAGAACCATTCCCATTCTACTTTTCACCTGTCTTACATCCTGTCGATTTCTGCAAATTTACTCCTGATAACTCCTCTGGATACGTTTATACTTACAAGCCCATGATGTCATCAGTAAGTTCAAGAAGGCTGGAACCTTTCAGTCATGGTGTTTTTTTTAGCAGGATGTTGTGAGCTTCAATAAATCTCAGATGGGTGTGGTGTGAGTTGGAGCTGGGGGCGCTTTAGTGCTGTAATGGTTCTTACCATTACAATTTTCCTCAATTTTTAAGCCAAGGACATAAAGGTGATATCCTTTATTCCTTCCCACTTAACTCTGCTATAGTTATCCTGTTTACTACTGTAAGAGTGCATGCTGTATTTTGAAAGCAGTAGTATTAATTAATATGAAGTCTTATGGACTGTTTTTCACTGTAACTTGCCTCTTTTGCCAATTTCTTTCCCCCAATATTGCTATCAGGCTCAGTGTTAAATTATACTTTACACTGTACCTGTGAGGCATCTTGAAACAAAGTGCTATGTTAAAGGCACAACTTAAATTCAAGTTATTGCTTTGTCTCTGAAGTGGTTTTCTGTCATATTGAAAGGGCAATTTTTAGGTTTAGATGAAGTGCTGCTGACTAGCATTTCATCTTGGTGCTGAATATTCAATTAATTATTTACTTCTAAGGAAATCTGAGTTAGATTCTGTTTAATTTGTTACTGACTCTGTAACCTTTGCACTGTCCTGGAGAGAGCATTGAGGCTGGGAAGGGTTAGCTTAGCAAAAGCACCTCAGTAAATAGGTGTGGAGGAAACGGCTCCGCGAGTGAGGCCATTCCATCATTTAGATGAATTGTGAATATTTTTAATGTAGCAGAATGTGGAAAAATATAAACTAGTTTTTTTTTGGAGAAATAGGAATGAACAGTCACTTGCTTTTGCAGAACTTGAATCTTGCTGGAACAAAGGAACACAGTTGAAAATTTTTATCTTACACTTATCAAGGCAAACCAAGAGTGACAAATTTCAAAATGATCTGTTGTGATTTCATTCTTACTCTCTTGTAATCTCTTATACACTCTGTTGCTCAGATTGTTGTTTGAGAGGTTCAGAGACCTCTTTTTAAACCTTTCAGCAATACTAATTTGGCTTCCTGTAGACCTCTTCCTTCTCAAAGCCTGTTTCAAATTGCAATGGTTCTTATAGGCAGTAGTCAGACCACTGATGGAATACTGTGAGCAGTTTTGGGTCCCTTTTATCTAAGGAAGGATACACAGATATGGGAGATAGTCCAGCAAAGGTTCACTAGGCAGATACCAAGTATGGGAGGGATCGTCTTATGAGAAGAGGTTGAGTAAGTTGAACCTGTCTTTAGAGGTATTTAGAAGATTGAGAATGATCTTATTGAAACATATAAGATTCCTAGGGGCTTGACAGGTTTAATATGTAAAGATTGATTCCCTTTGTGGGACAGTCTAGGACCAGAGGGCAGACTCTCGGAATAAGAAGGAGATAAAGCAGCTGCTGGAGGTTTGGTTAAAATTTAAAGATGGCCCCCATCTGAGGGAGAGGGTAAAAACATCCTGAG